GCGTCGTTGCATGCTTTGCGAGATAAATTCAATAAAAAAAAAACAGTTATAAGAAAATGGGGAACACTATGATGGTGAGGAGAAAGAGGGCGAAAGTGATGAAGATCGACGGAGATATACTCCGATTCAAAACTCCGACGACGGTGAGTAACGTCTCGAAAGAGTACCCCGGGTTTGTTCTATTAGACTCTGAGACCGTAAAGGGGCTTGGCGTTGGCGCCAAACCGCTAGAGCCGAATGAGTTCTTAAAGCCGAATAAAACTTATTTTCTTGTGGAGTTACCACCGGAGACGGCGAAGGAGGAGCCAGATAATATGAATAAGCTTCCTTACCGGAGAGTTATGTCCGGTATACATGTTGGGGCCAAGGAGCGTTTGGAGATGCTAATGCTTTCTCGGAGAACGGTTTCTGACGTTACACTCGCAAGATCTAACGGTGGAGATGGACAGAGGAGGGTGACATTGAGGCTTCCTCGTTCTCAGATTACCAAGTTTATGGAAGAGAGTCATGACGTTTCCGAAGTCACCGAGAAGATTGTTGCTCTCTACCTTGAGAGCTCCGGCGGCGTAGATAACGATGATTTTCCCCGGAAACTTGGAGTCCGAGAGATGAAGAACAATTGCAAGGCGCGAGAGGTAATTTTTTTCTTTTAATTTATTTCAAAATTTAGGATATTTTTGAACCAATCAAATAACCCGAATGCACACAAAAATTCTTAAAAGCAAGAAATACAAATCTAAACCGAGGCAAAATCCAAAATTGAAAAACATTAGCGATTTTCAACACTAAATTGATATTTGTTTCAAATGTAGTTGATAATTAATAATGAAGTAAATGATATTCAACCTCTTGGTGCGAAATATTGTACAATTTAACCGTTGGAGTTCTGAATCTTTAATCCATTATCTCTTTGGTGCCCCGGGCCAGCCGTTGTTAATATCACGTTTAAGACGTAAATCATCCCTTTCAAGTGGAGTTGAACTAATAACATTGAAAACTCTTTTTTAATATTTAAGACCATTAGACCACCAACCATTTGGTGTAGATTAGAAGTAGTTGACACTAGAAAATAAAAAGGGTTGGATCAATAGTGCATTGCGTTGAAAATATCTAAGCTTATTTTGCAATATTCACTTAAAAATTAGCTTTCGTCACATAGTTTATACAGGTTTATTTTGGCAATGACTAATTGTATACGTGCACATATATACAACTGTTTGTTGTCATCTTAAAAAAAATTGTTAGTCAAACATTGTTATCGAGGCAAGGTTGTTTATAAATGGATTAGTTTGAACAACCTCTAGCTACTGAACATGTTATGAAGCTCACAAATCATAATGTTAATTAAAAGTTCATTAGCCTTTCTTTTTTTCCCCAGCAACAACAACATACAATCTATGGAATTTGATGGTGCCACATAAATATACGAAGTACTCATTACTGTTCTATTCATTAAAACATTAATATTATGCAACGGAATTTCTTTTACCAACTAGGGGTCACAAATATTAGAAT